GAACACTCGCATTCCTGGGGGGAAAAATTCGCGTTTCTGCAATAAAAACGAAGCCTGAAAAGAAAGTCTGCACACGTTAGAGGCCGCTGTCCTCACAGGCGGTGCGATTTAGCTGCGCTAGTCGCTACAACGCTGCACTCGCTAGTCGAGCACAAGAAAGCGCAACAGTAGTAGAGAATCACTCACCAACCAGTCGATCATAGGCTAGAAGGCAGTGGCCGAAGTTCCATGTTGGTAATCCAGTGAACGGGCACGGGGCACACGCGTTGAACCACGGGCACGGCGGTGCTTGTGGCGTGCGCGAGTATGGGCAGCGTACTCGCGTGAGGCACCGTTGAAGCGACCGCACTCCTCGGTGGTCTACGCACGTCCGGCGCGGAGCGCGAGTCACGAAAAAACAGCTGAGGAGCGCGCGAAAACACGTCCTTCCCCTTCGGCTGCCGAAACGACGTCCTTCAACACCAACTAAATTGCGTCGTGAAGCGAGAGAGAGCTGGCACACGGTGAGCCAACACCAACCGAGGGAGAGAAAGGTCACCGCACAATGCTGAGAGCGTGAGCTACTTGGCACCACTCCAACACCTGCGGAGATGGGAGCGGTGCGTACGGAGGGACAGCGTTACAGAGGCTATTGAAAGAGCTGCTTCGCATCTAAAAAACGAGAGAAAAAAGCCACCTGCATCTTCCCACATGAGTAAATAAATGCATCACAGAGGGGGGTGTATCGCGTGAATGTTGCGTGATTGGGTATGGTTTAGGAATGCTTAACTGGTATTTTGTCATCATTATAATTTATTGAATGAAGGAGAAGCGTTGCCTTCAATGAGTGGTGGGACGCTGAAGTGCGATCCAGTCGGTTTTTTACTAGCAGGCGCTGCCTGCGTCGGCCTTGCGAGGCGAGAGAGACGGAGGGGAGTGACAGTTGGCATGAGACGAGAGCATGCGCAGTGGGGATGTGGACAGCGCCGCCAACGCCAGATCCGTGACCTCGTGCGACAAAGCAATGCTCCGCATTTAAATGTTCCGTCACCGCGTGTCGAACCTAAGACCTCTCCCTTCACAACGTGCAGAGCGAAACCACAAGACCATGAAGCGTACGTTGTGTAGCTTGCTAACGGCAAGCTATTTAACCATATACCGAAGTGGGGGCTCGGAGCTCAGCAACTTCAGCGCGCTTTCGTCATCAGCAAAAAAATGGCGTGAAAGGCGCCCCGAAAGATCATCGTCTTTCCTGTTGCGATGGGCGCGCTTATCTCGCGATTCGAGAGAGCCACGAAAGTGACTTCACTCGCTGCAGCAGCCACGTTTACGAAAGGAGTGCACGGCTCACACAAGAATTGTGAATTGTCTGTTTGCACTCGTCCTTGTGCGTCTTTCTGTTTGAGCAGCGCGCTTTTATGTGACAGTTGTTAGTCCACGCTCGCCCTGTGTATGCTCATTTCGTGTGTGCTTTCTGCTTGAGTTGCATGCGCATTGCAAGTTTCGATCTGCTTGCCGTTATTTGCGTGACTTAACGATTCCTTGCTGTAGCATTCATTCCTTCGCCATTGTGGCGAAACAATGCTCGATGGACGCTCCATTGCCACTGTAAAGAAGCGTTTTACTTTCGTGTGATATCCCGGCTGCGGCGGCTGCATTTCCGATGGAGGTTTAAATGTAGGCCCGTGTGCTCAGATTTGGGTGCACGTTAAAGAACCCCAGGTGGTCGAAATTTCCGGAGCCCTCCACTACGGCGTCTCTCATAATCATATGGTGGTTTTGGGACGTTAAACCCGACATATAAATCAATCAAATCCCTTTCGTGTTATACCTATTTCAAGGTAGAAGGATCGGCAACGCTCTTTTCTCGGCACGTCATGCCCCACGCACAGTTGCAAAAACCTGTATAGCATCGACGTTCACAAATCATATTGAAAGCCCTCGCCCGACAATACAACCGCAGCTGTTGTATTTGTTTTCTAGTGTATTCGCTCACTCAACGTCTAGTCTTGTTTCACACTTTCCTATCAACAATTTCGGGGTTTCATTTTTCACTACAAAAACGCGTTGAGGTCGATTGCGGAAACTTTATGCAGCATCGTAGCCACGGTGCTGTTGCACTCGCAGGTGCCAGTTTAGATGGCCATCTAGTAAATTAATTTTCTTGGCTTTTAATCACCTCTGAGCTTCATTACCTTGTATGTGGATACGAAGTGCGATACCATATATTGAATCCTTGAGGCGACGGACGTTTGAACTTTACGTGAGCCATGTAGTTGAGAGTGCCCTAGGAAAAGCTCAGAACACTCATTCAGACTTTCAGCCGTTTGCTTTTCAAACGATTATCATCATCGCAGCAGTGCTTACACGGGAATTAAACATTACTGCTCATGACGTAGTGGTTGATCGGACCACCAGTTAATGCAAATAGGAATGTACAGTCACATATTTTCAGAGGACTGTATAGAAAAATATTCACATAATCGCTACATCTTAGCACTTCCTTAAACATTTTGTGTGTGACCATAATATTTTGTTCAATATTTTGAATATATTAAGTGGCTTTTCATGATAGGCGCATGTATAATGTCTCCTGTAGCATAAAGTGCAACGTCATCAAATCACCTGAATTATCTCCATAAAAGTGAAATGTCATTCGTTCTGATTATATTTGTAATTTTTCGGGACACATGCTCTAACCACGAAGTGTAGCCACGTAGCACTGAAGTTACAACCACTCGTGTAAACGTTGTTAGCACCGTTTTTTCAGAGTAAGTGAGACAGGACCGTATGGCATTCGTTGTTTTTGCCACCTTTTTCACAGCGAAACTTCCGTTCGGACTGGAGTTTGCCCATTATGATGTCGAAACGTTGCGCAGTTCACTTCACTTTCGTGAGTAGCGAAAACACTCAACTTCCAACTTGGCAGATTTGCAGGGCAACAATGAGCAATGATTGCCACCGTGTGAGTGGGTCGCACGGGGGGCAAAAAAAAGCGATATTTGGTCTACAGGCACGCATGGGGGGATTTCATCGCAGCCACCCCCCTCCTATTAGGTTAATGTATGAGGTTGACTTTGTACTCGCCTCTTATGCTGTTAAAGCGAACCCCCCCCCCCCCCCCCCTGTTTTACTCGTGCGCACGCCTATTATTAAACGCGGAGCTAGAAGGTCATCGCCATGACGTCACGTCACCGCAACTTCCACGCCACCAGTGTTCGTTCTCGGGGCTAATTTGTCAAGGACCGAAATAACATGAACATAATTTCGACATTTAGGATACCACTAAGAAAAAAGATGGATATAAGAAAAAATAAAGGAAATGGGAATAGAGAGAGATGAAATAGGAAATAGGTTACATATATTGGCTTTATGAACTATAAGTAATAAACAAAGGCAATGTTAACACTAGTTCAAAATATTTTGGTAAAAGGTAGCGGAATTATTACGCAGTACTAACACGAGCAAAATGTCGTAGGTCGAGTCACTCAACCAATGGAACATGCCGACGGAATCAAAGAAGTTCGACTAGCCACAAAAAGTTTGTCCCTGGCGGAAGAGCATTCGATGTAACGGGAACTCATACGTTGGCGGATAGGTGCTGGCTGATCGTGCATCATATTTTAATACGAAGCACCATCTGTAAAGCCCTCAAAGAATATCGCAAAGTACGACTAGCTTTCGCAGTCTTGGCCAGATTACCAGTTTGAAGAGCCCACTAAATGCAATAAGCCGTACTTTGTGGGCTTTTATGTACACGAACCACGACATATAAGAATTTCCCACAGCGCGACAAATGAGGTAGGGTCGGCCCTGCATTGATTAATGGAACTTTCATTTAAAATAACATTAAGGAAACATTTCTTCCAGCTTTCATGTTAACATTTTTAGCGTTTTTTTCTTGCGTTTCTTTACTTTCTTTGATTGATGTAACTCTTTCCAGTGTGTATGTTATTTACAAGTTTTCGTTATTGTTGATGTTCTATGCCTTGCAACTTCGAAATCATTTGCACTCCTGGTTTTTTGTTTTTGTTGAGAAATTCACGCCTAATTACATGCTTCTCGTAGTCACTTGTCTGCCCACTGTTTCATCAATCCATTCTCGATAGGTCCCCCTGACGCTAATTATCCTAGGACCTCCTTCTCTAGCACCTACGAACTATGCCATTTGTATTTGATGATAATATTTCAATAAACCTTCAAACCTTCCAACTAAACACTGGCAAATTTAAATTCATGGGTATGTCCGGAATAACTAACATCATCTCTGCAGGTTACTCAAGTGAGGTTTTCTTGCAATAAGCTAATTCTCATGAATATTTCAGTGGGAATGTATCTGCTATATATATTATCTTAGAATACCCATGCTGGCTATGTCTTTGCAATGTTAACCTCATACTTCGTTGCGTGGTTACCTTCTTTTACTTTAGTGCAGTGTTACCTTAAACCAGAAAAGGTTTTTTTTAAGCAATCTTCTTGTTTTCAGGAATTGCACAACATGTGCAGAATCGTAATTCGAAGCACAACTCCTGATAAAAATTTCGTGCGCCTAAGGTAAACACGGTGAATCGTTTCATGAGCACTTTCACCACATTTAGTCATAATCTCAAATAATAACTGATTTCTTTGTTTGCTTTACTATTATAGTTTCACTGCCCCCATTGTCTAAGAATTGCTCACAGCCAATACGAGAATTAATCAAGTATATTCTTGCTGTGGCCCCAGCCCTACGCTCTGTTCAGCACGTCATCTTCATCAACCTTTACTGAGGATGAGCCGGAACACCACATGCAATAAAATCAAGTGTGCTCTGGGCAACGACTTGTCTATTCACATCAGTCACACTACTCCGCACAACCAGCTCACCAGTGTCTGTTTTATATCAATAATCTCGGATGGTGGCAACTTCATACAGCTTCCCGTGCGGCCGCAAAACATTGCGACTGCTCAAAGTATTCGCATCATTAGGAACCTGGCCACAGCCACTAGTGGGCGCCACATCTCGATACTCGCCGCGTCGCTGTAATCACCGTGGTCGATTATGTTTTCCATGTGAATCTCTGCGGGCGGGGGAATCGCAGGAGAGCTAACAGCGACCGACAAGCTAAAATTGACCATGGCAGCCACAACGTGCCGGCTACTCCTACGGGGCACCCTTCTTCTGATCGTCTTCGTCATCTTACAAGAAGCGGAAGCAGCGATGTTCAACGAACCCATCAATCCGAAGGAGTTGCGCGCCCGAGGGGACGTCGCAGTCGACCAGCCGCTCTTCAGAAGCGCCAGCCGCTGGATGACCGGCGCCAGTAACGAAGCATGGGTGCATCAGCAAGCCCGTGAGGGTGGTAGCAGCGGCACTCGAGCACACCAGCAACCATCTGCAAGCGTCGAGCAAGGTATGCCCCTAGCCGAGCACCAAACCTCACAGGAAACCGAGCAGGCCAACGTACGTGCGAGTAATAGCGAACAGAGGCACCTGCGACCTGGTCGAGCGTACGTCATAACAGACCAAGAAGGTACCAACAACAACGACAGCACCACCAGCGTACAGCTACAGCAGCAACAAGGGCAGCAGAAGCAAGCGGACGATAGCTTCCTTGACGAAGTCATCAAGAGCGTCAAGTTGGGTGGACCCGGCGTGGGAAGCGCCGCTTTGAGGCCCGTCGTCTTGTCTGATAAAGGTGGCCCCGTCTTAAATCCGGCCGGCACACTGGCGTCTGGAAACGCGACTAAGCTGTACAATGTGAGTAACGCCCAGAAGGTGGTGGGCGACGAGCATCCCATGGAATTGGGTAAGGTCAAAATCCGACCCGCACACGTTGTACTCTCCACAAACGACACGCTGCAGCTGGAGTGCTTCGTCGGCTACAATACGCACGCGTCGGTCTCATGGACTCTGAACGACCGTGTCTTGTTAGAGGTGGACGAGTCCAAGATACAGACCATAGACTACAAGGGTGTCAAGGTCATGGTCTCCTCAATCCTCATCCGCAACGTGCTCAAGCTACCCACGTTCAAGGAGATCTATGTGTTCAAGTGCATCTACCTGTTCGACGACGAGATGCAGACAGCTCAGGCCGTCGTGCACGCGCGCGTCACCGACGACTGCCAGACGGACCAGGAGTGCGCGCCCAGGAACGCGCGCTGCGTCAACAGCCGCTGCACGTGCGCGAGCACGCAGTACCCTGTGAAGCTGCAGTCCGTACACACCACGTGCCGCGTTGAAGCCTTTCTGGAGACGGAGTGCCTCTACGACGAGCAATGTGAGAACGTCGAACCCAAGAGCGAGTGCACGGTTCACCACTGGTGTGCCTGCATCCACGGCTACGCCAGGGACGCTTGGAGCAACTGCCTGCCTAAGAGCGCGGGACTGAGGACGCGGTGCAACTCGGACCGTGACTGCGCCGACCTCGGCGCCAACTGCGTGCTCAGCCACTGCACCTGTCTGGGGGACCTGGAAGAGCGCGGCGGAAAGTGCGTCGCCAAGACCAAGCCCTCCGACGAGCTTCTGCGACGAAGCCTCGTGGCCAAGGTCACTCAGAACGTGGCGTCGGCTCAGTACGCCGCGGCATTCGCGCTGTCTTCCACGGTGGCAGCTACCCTAGCACATTGCTATCTTCTGAGGCTGCTCACACTGGAGTCACTATGAAGACCGACAATATACCGACGTGGTCACCAGCTTTTTTTCAGAAATGAATGAAGTGGTGTGTCGGAGAAGTAGATGTTATGGCGTATGTGTGTTTCTTGCTCCTTGCGTGCCCGTAAAAGTAATGCTTGAAATCAATATTATGGTAATGTCGGCGCCACAATGGCGTTTTTAAGGTGGCTCACGTCACGAGAACCAATGATTTAAAAAAAATGTCTAACCCCAATTGAACGGCACCAATGACATGTTATTTGTTTTCTTGTGGCCCTCGTTATGTTACTAGTTATAATGCATGCGATTAGTCAATTAGCTACTTAAATTTTGCTTAGCCTTCATTATTCTCCTTAGGGTCATGTGCGTTTAGTCACGTTGTAGAGGGCATTAAAAAACGATCCAATTTTTTGTGTGCGCATGCCGTGAGGTGATTTGTTTCTGGTGTTTAAAGACAGAACGTGGAACATGAAACCAAGCCAGGTGATTGCTCTCATGCGCTACCGTAATGCAGCGCTTTCAACCATGCTTCGAGGGCAACATCCATGCGCACGAACAGTCGGCCTATTGCTATGATTGACGACGGCGCAATACAAGGAGCAGCATAATAACAGAACACAAAAATAGCATAAAAGCAAAAATAGGTGACATATAACTACAAAAAATAGGCTGCATAGACACACAGAATCAGACATCGAGGCTCTTTTTATTACATATCCGAAAAGACACATACACACATATTGTTAAATTCGTATAATACACTCATATCGTCATAACATCTGCCCATATGTACATACATACTACTGTACATACACGCTTTTTGTATCTAAAGGTGAGAGTATATGTGGAACCTAGCCAGAAGTTAATTGAAAACATGATGTTTACTATAGTCAATTAATGAGGAGATGTTTTATGTGATATTTGAATTGCGGTAATGAGAAGTTAAAATTGAATTGTTCACCTGGATGATTTATGAGCTGTGGGGCACGGTATGCAATTAGGGCTCTACCATATTCAGTCCTAGTAGCAGGAACGCGAATTTGTTGCCTACGGAGCGAGTATTTGAGTGCGCTTTCCTGTGCTGTAATAGTGTGGAGTTTATTTTTATAAATGTAAAGTAATAGCTTCTATTCATACACCTGTCTTGCTTTGAGTATACCATGTTTTATGAATAGTGGACCGCTAGGCATCTCCCTTGGGTTGCCATAATAATCATCGAATAGGTGGAGAACTTTTTTCTTTAAGTTGCTGGTGAAGATGCTGATACGTTGTGAAGCCGATGCCTATAGAGCCATGGGCACTCATTTCGCTAGGACTCGTGCACACGGCTCTATCACTCGGAACACGTTTGGTAGCGCCGCTATGTGGTAGAGCATGAGTGCACCTAAATGTTTTAGTGCGATAGCCTCAAATAGCTAGTTTGGCAAAAGCTACTGCTAAGAGTCGGTGTCATTGATGGTGAGCGAAAATCGCGATGAATGCAAGTAATTAAAATCATGGACCTCAGCCTGAACCAAATCCAACCCTGTCGCCGTCAAGCGTCCAAATGCACGTGCTGGATATCACAAGCCACGGCCTTCCTTAGCAATCATTCCGCAATGTTTTTGTGTTCTGCACCGGCCTGCCCTGCCAAGATTCTTGAAACAGCTAAATTTTATTGAGGCCACTATACAGTTTACTGCAAAAGAAAAATCAGATGGCTGCCTTCCCTTCATTGACGTCCTCGTAAAACGAGACGATAACCGCCTGACTTTCAGTGTTTCTCCCGGTGTGGTGTATAAAATTTCTTGCGAAGATTTTGAACATGTATATATCGGTTACAAAAAAAAAGGCTCTGGGAATATTTTAATGACGTCAAGAACAAGAAAACAGCTTCTAATGTCTTTGCAAAGCATGTAGCGTGTACTGGACACGATATCAAGTGGGATAAAGCCTGGATCAGTGCCACGGAAGGGAAGTCGTTTCCGCGATCGCACATGCAATCTTTGGCCCTTCAGACTACTGCGCATAAACTAAACAGAAACGTCAAGACGCCCCCCCCCCCCCCCGGTTTATGCGCGATGCCAGCAACACGTGACGACACGTGAATTAAAACAAAAGCGCACTACGTCGTTTGCTGTCACTGTGAACGAGGCTTTTGTAAAGCGAGCCAAAACATCTTTTATTGTATTTTCGTTTATTTTACCTTGGTCGGCTTTTTTGATATTTTACATTATATGTGCTGGAGGGCTACACTGATAAATAAGAAAGACAAAACTATCTCTTGCAAAAGTTTTTGGTAACGGTAGCAATATAATTCATCATTTAATACTATAACAATATAACATAAACAATATATTAAACAATAAACGCGAGCAAACTAAGGTATTGGGCTTTCGTGCCTTCTCCCCAACTTCGTCTTTCGCAGTAACTCTAGCGCAGTTTTCCAATCATACTCAACAATATTTTCTATTTTGCTAACTCTTGAAAATACAAGTTATCTTGATTTTAGTAGAAGTGTTTCTTATGTAAAAAGAAAACTTTTGTAATACTAATGGTGTCTTTCTCATTTATTTTCTATTTTATTCCGATGCCCGTCTGCGGCTCCTAGAAATACACAAGCGTAACATATCTGCTGTATGATGAATGTACAGACACGTGTCTTCGGTATGATGATGGTTCAACTTTTATTAAGCCGAACTAAGTTGGAAGTGCGCGCAGACACCAAACGGGGTGGTTCCTTAGTTACGGGACATGTATGTATCCAGCAGCCCGTGGCCTCTGTCCATCATAGCAAGCTGTGTCGGTAGGGCAAAGTTGGATAACAAGGTTGCCCATCGCTCAAGGGTTTGGGGGCGATGGGAAGGAGAGGGGTGATGAGTTTTGTGTGCCATGCAAGTATGTGTGGCGGGGTGCCCATTTCTCTTTTGCAACACAGACAAAGCGGGTCGTGTTCCACCGCCTAGATGTGGTCCATCACTGCGGAATGCGCAAGGGATCCCGCCTTCGCTCGACGCATAATCTTCTGTTGTCTGGTAAGTTTGGGGTGTGGTTCTGGCAGTCTGCACCTTTCTTCTCAGTACATCCGGATATTTTTTTATAAGCTGGTAACCGGGTGCAGTAGCGGTTCAATCAAAAACACCAAACCGAAGGAGGTCGCCATTGCCTTGTCGACAGCCAATCCTCCTAACAGTTACAACTTCAGCGGTTTCAAATACACCACTACCAACCTACTACTTACTCCCTGGCATTGAGGTCGCCTATCATCAGGCTCGAGCTTTCGTCTCCCGAGCCCACGGCGTCAGCCCAAGTTGAAATAAGAAAAAAAGGACATAGAGGAAATTAGATGGACAATACGTGACTGCTTGGTGATGTCTAATGAAATGACACTACATTATAGAGCTGGACTTGACTACCACCCGGTGCATGAATCCCTAACCAAACGGTGGGAGCTTGATCACAGCCAGTTCAGAAGGGCTCCATTTCATGCTTGGCCTTGTGCTCCTGCATCTATTCCTCTGCCTCTAAACCTCCGTGCAAGCTGTTCCGGGACACCCAGTCCTTATTTATCATAACCTATGGTCATGTCCAGTACACGTATTTATATTGGAAACGTGCACTGGGTTGGTGGCACCATGTTGCGGGAGTGAATTAAAGTAACTGGCGTGCTCCGTACAGCAAAACAACCAAGATTGATTGATGATTGATATGTGGGGTTTAACGTCCCAAAACCACTATTTGATTATGAGAGACGCCATAGTGGAGGGCTCCGGAAATTTCGATCACCTGGGGTTCTTTAACGTGTACCCACATCTGAGCACACGGGCCTACAACATTTCCGCCTCCATCGGAAATGCAGCAGCCGCACCCGGGATTTGACCCCGGGACTTGCGGGTCAGCAGCCGAGTACCTTAGCCACTAGACCACCGCCGCGGGGCGGCAGAACACTCCAGAGCGGAGCCATGTCAGGTTGTTAGCGGTGCTTCGCAATGTCGCGTATGATTGCTGTGTCGTAAACTGGGCCAATAACTATAGGAACTACGCACCTGGAACAAAGTTATACAGCTTTCTGCCGTGATTATACTTGCGAAACCAGCGGGAACACTGGATTGTTGTATGCCACGTGAAGCAAACAACCCCGCGGGCACGTTTGTGGAGTACGTATGTTGTAGCCAGTTCACTGCGACTTTACTCTCCATGCCAGTTAAATGATTTTTTCGCACTGCAGAAGGAACTGATCAGACAGTCAGCAAAGTTATCTCGAGTTTGAAGTCTACAAGTCTTTGGCGGAAAGCGATTGACAGATGCAGTGGTACTCCCTCGTACGATGCCCACTTTTGGTTTTGTTTGCATAGTATTTATTACAGTGAGTATTACAATGCGCAATAAAGATTCAAATAAAGCCAACAAAAGTAGAATCACATGGTGACAGTAATGAAACACTCGATGGCTAACACCTGCAGCGCGTAGTAGAAGATCGAGAGTTCTTCACATCGTGTTATACATGAAAGGGGATGAGGCCGCGCACCTCACCAAAATAGAATGCCAGTCCGGTTTAAAGTCCGAGTCGTCAAATAAAACAGCCAGGCCTGCGCGGAACACGCAGAATCACAGCGAAAGCTGCAAAGTGGCCTTTGTTACATACTCTTTGGGTAATGCTACAAGCACACTCGCAGGGTACACACTATACACCATAAATCATCATCCCTTTCGTTTAGTAGAGAGGAATTCACTATGCCATCGTGCGTAATTCTTCATAGAAACGGGGTACCTGTTAAATACTTGCAAGAAATTTTGTGCAATTGTCTTATGCTGTGGCTGACGAAAATGAAGAATTATGCCTGAAGCTTTCGTAATGGGTTGGAGCACTCGATGACCAATTCGTTTAGCAATTTGCATTCTGTGAAGCCTGGTTCTTCGTTTGATATTCTAAAGCGTTTTATTACTCCTATTAACGCGATTCCTTTCTCGACATCAAGCTTGCCTATAGCGTCAGTTTGCAACGGAGTTTCAAGCACCGGCGTGGTTGATTACCAGACTTTTGTAGATTCGTTCTACCATGTGAAGTAGTGTTTTGCACGTGTGTACTTGCGCGAATA